AATTGCATTAAAATAGGAGATGAAAGTTACCTAGATTTAGATTTTAATATCAAATGTTTTGATCCTGAATATCACTTACCCTATATGATTTATTTTAGCATACCTATGTTATTTATTTGGATCATAGTGATACCTTTGTTAATATTCTTAAAAATTAGAAATGGTAAACTAAAGCAATGGTCAATATTTACTGAAATTAAATATTCAATTATTTTTGCAGGACATAAAGAAAAGTTTTATTATTGGGAATTTGGTAAACTAGCTTATAAATCTATAATAATTATGAATTCAATATTGTTTCAACAGAATTTGCTTTATAAAGTAAATTTATTATTATTTATTTAATAAAATTATTTGATTTTAGTTATATTATTTATTACATTTTTTATAAATAAAAGATATCTTTGATGAACACAGTCATTTTACTTTAGTTATATTTAACAACTAAATATAAACCTTTTATAAATGATAATTTTAATAATCTAACTTAAAAATCATCAATTCTATGTGCTTTATCACTAAATTTAATTTCAGTAATTTCATCTGAATTGAATCTGATATTTATTATTTAAACATTACTTATTTTGACTTTGGTTCTTCCTAATTTTAAATTCATTTTCTAGCTAGTTTTAGGAATGTTTGTCGTAACACTATCAAGTGATAAGATAAAAAGAAATAAGGTTTAAAGTTTTATCTTCTATTTAAAAAATAGATTTCCATAATTATTAGAAAATGTTTAGGTTTAGAACTCAAATAAGATAAGATCTCTCATAAAACTAAAGATCGTATAAAGAAGAATAAAAGTTCTTATTAAATTTTTAAAAGGATATAATTTTTATGGCTAAGAATCTTTTCAATAGCTCTTTAATACTTAAAGTGCCTAAATAAAATAGTCTAGTATCTCACCTTAATAACAAATATAAACTCCATAATAAACTGATAAATTTATTCTATAAGATGTGAATGAATAAATTTATAAGGATAACTTAAAAAATGTAGATTCTTTTAAAAATATGAGAGATAGATGGTCTTATTATTCAAAAACACCTAAATCAAATATTCTGACTAAATAAATATCTAATGATTAAGATATAATTGATAGTTAAGAAAATAAATCACCTTAAAGTGCTAGAAGTCAATACATTATGACATCAAATTATGATTAAAGATTGTAAACCAAAGAATTTAATATGCTTTGAGACAAAAGTAATTGAAAATCAATTAGTTTACATCATATTAAGAATGTATAATAAAATAAAATTGATAAAATATTTTTATGTTTTTTTTTTATCTGTTTTTAAAGAATTTATGAAAAATAAAGGTGATTAATATCCACTTCATTTTAAAATAATAATTCATAAATTTTATTAAATTAAAATATATATATATATTATTTATCTAATTAATTTTATCATATTTTTGGGGTATTTACTTTATTAAATTAATTAACAAAAATAATTAAAATTTCCATAAAATATAAATAATTTTTATCATGCACTATTTATACAATATATAATAAAAATGAATTAAATCAATATTCTTTTAGGACTGCTAGCATGCTAAATTTTATAAGTTATTAATTATTTTCAATAATATTTTAATTGATATTAATCCTATTATTGAAGTATCTGACAATCTCATACATGATATTTCAATGACAGGAGCATCTATATTTTATTATTATCTCATGTAACATTAATTTAAAAATAGTTGCAAAAAATAAGGAGGTATTTATGATATTTAAATTTATATTTTATTGTTGGCATTTACTTTATTTTTTACCTTAAAGCGCTTATAAAATAATTAAAATATTACGTAATAATATACATAATTAATTCTTTTGCATTTTTACTAAATTAATTATTACAAAATAAAGATTTAATTTTATGTAACAAGCTCTATTCTTTGAATTTCTCCTTTTATGCTTATTATTAGATGCTTTCATCTTTATATAAATGATTCATTTCTTTCCTCTCCAATTATTTTTATTTTCAAATAGATTAATCATAATAAATGTTAATCTAATCAAAATGTAAAATAATTAGAATCATGCATTTTTGTTAATAATTTTATAAGATTATCTTTCTTTTTAATATAAAGAGTATTTACATTACAATTGAGGTGGGCATTTTTTAGATCGCTCTAAAAAATACAAAAAATAAAGTATAATTTAATTTTTAAGAAAATTATTTTTTTTAATTTTAAAACAGTTTGTTTTATTAATTTAAAATATTATAATTGGTTTACTAACTACAAACTAAATTATGTCTAAAATATTTAATGTGAATTCAAATAAAATTTTGTTATGAAAAAGTTTTATTTATCTAAATATGAAATATTCATGATGCAAAACGAGTTAATTAATTTATATTTTAAGTTAGTTGATAGTAAATTTGATTTATTTCTTCTTAATTAATTATATATTATAATTTATTATTTATTTTTAAAAAAATACTTTTAAAATAAGTAAATTAAAAAACTTGATAATAGCATAAGCAAATAGTAAACTATTTAAATAATGTAAAACAAAAAATATGTTTATGTTATTACTAAAAAATTTGAAGATTAGAAAAGTTTTTATTATATTTAATTAATAAAACATTTAAAAAATAATACTTTAACTGAAAAATTAGATGGCTAAGGTTCTTGATAAATTTGTGTATGCAGACCAATAAAAAATAGTATATATTAAAAACCAATGATTTAGAAGCTCACGATTAAATTTAAAATAAAGCAAAATGATTCAAAAACAAGAAAAAGAAATAAAAGTTAAAGCTATAGCAAAATTTAAAAAATCTTAAATCTAAGTAATTAGCTTATTTTGTTCATGTTGAAGAACTGATAAATAAGTTAAAAGAAAACACATAATTTATAGATTTATAAAAGAACAAATCCTATTTTCAAAAGTCAAAAACCTTAGAAAATAAAATTCATTAAGACAGAAAAAGTGAATGGTAAGTTTATAGAACAGTGAAAAAATTTAAAACAAGAGATCTTCTAATAAGAGAAGTTATTCATACTTATAAACTAGCAAAAAACAAAAGTATAAATAATAATTTCCAATTAATAGTTAAGGATATTTTATAAAATATTTATTTATTATTTAGCTTTAAGTTATTAATAGAGTAATTAATATCTATAATATTATTTATATATGATTGATGCTAATTTTTGCAAAATATTTATTTTTATTTATTTATAATCAGGCATGAATTAATTCAACTTAATTGATAATATATTATATAAGAGGAAAAGTGAGGTCTGGCGATTAATTTTTTAAAACAATTTTTTTAACATTTTATTTTATTATTATTATTATTCTACTAATTAATTAATATACAAATTTATTCTGAGAATGAGGCTTTTCTGATATATATATTTTTTTTTTGTCATAAGCTATTTGAATCATAAATTATATGCAATTTAAATTTCTAAAGATGCTATTTCATTTTAACATTAATTTCATTGTAAAATAATAGTTTTCTATTATTTAATTTCTTAAGTATTAAAGTTATAGTAAATATTATTTAAATAAAATATTCTTTCGTTATAAGTAATAAAAAATATTTTAATGATAAAATATACAAAATATTTATTTTAGTATTTTTTTATTTAAAATGTTAAATTTAATATTTTTTTAAAATATCTAAATCATAATTTAAAATAAATTTATAAATCAATTAAAATTATTTAAGATATTCTGATGTTTATTTTTCATTTAAATGATTTTAACTAACAAGATTTAACGGAAATTCATACTATCGTTGATTTTAACAACAAAATTTGATATAAAAAATAAGATATTTTTTAAATAAGATAACAATAAGATTCTGCTATTGAATTTAAAATTATCGACAAACTGCAATGTCATTTGAATTTATATATGTTGTTTTTAATTAAATATTGATATCGTTTTGAATTTAAATAAGCAAGAAAGAAAAAACTAATTAAAAATCAAAAAACATTTAAATTATATAATCTTTGATTACATGTTATAGAAAGTATTTATAGGATAAAATATACAAAGTATTTATTTCAATATTATTTATTATTTAAAATGATAGAGTTGGTTTTCTTTAAAAATAAGTAAATCATAATTTAAAATAAATTTATAAATCAATTAAAAATATTTATGATATGTTAATATTTATTTTTCATTTAAATGAAATTAGCTAACAAGATTTAACGGAAATTCATACAAATGTTGATTTTAACAACATTTAAATTATATATAAAATATGAGAGGTATTTTAAATAAAATAACAAAAATAGCTGCTGCTATTGAATTTTAAATTACCTACAAACTATTATGCTATTTGAATTTTTTTATGTTGTTTTTAATTAAATATTGGTATCATTTGGAATTTAAATAAGTAAGAAAGAAAAAAATAATAAAAAATCAAAAAATATTTAAATTATTTATTCTTTGATTACATGTAATAAAAAATATTTAAAGGATAAAATATACAAAATATAAATTTCAGTATTTTTTATTATTTAAAATGTTAGAGTTGATTTTTTTAAATAACTAAATCATAATTTAAAATAAATTTATAAATCAATTAAAATTATTTAAGATATTTTAATGTTTATTTTTCATTTAAATGAAATTAGCTAACAAGATTTAACGGAAATTCCTACAAACGTTGATTTTAACAACATTTAAATTATATATTCTTTGATTACTTGTAATAAAAAATATTTAAAGGATAAAATATACATAATATTTATTTCAGTATTATTTATTTTTTAAAATGTTAAATTTAATTTTTTTTAAATAACTAAATCATAATATAAAATAAATTTATAAATCAATTAATATTATTTAAGATATACTGATATTTATTTTTTATTTAAATGAAATTCGTTAGCAATATTTAAAGGAAAATCATACAATCTTTGATTTTAACAACAAAATTTGAGATAAAAAATAAGAGATTTTTTAAATAAGATAACAAAAATAGCTGCTGCTATTGAATTTTAAATTATCTACCAACTACTATGCTATTTGAATTTTTTTATGTTGTTTTTAATTAAATATTGGTATCATTTGGAATTTAAATAGGCAAGAATTTCATTTGGAATTTAAATAAGCAAGAAAGAAAAAACTAATTAAAAATCAAAAAACATTTAAATTATATATTCTTTGATTATATGTTATAAAAAGTATTTATAGGATAAAAAATATACAAAGTATTTATATTAATATTTTTACTATTTAAAATGCTAGAGTTGATTTTCTTTAAAAATAATCAAATCATAATTTAAAATAAATTTATTAATCAATTAAAATTATTTAAAATATGCTAATATTTATATTTCATTTAAATGAAATTAGCTATTAAGATTTAACGGAAATTCATACTATCTTTGATTTTAAATAAAATAACAAAAATAGCTGCTGCTATTGAATTTTAAATTATCTACCAACTACTATGCTATTTGAATTTTTTTATGTTGTTTTTAATTAAATATTGGTATCATTTGGAATTTAAATAGGCAAGAATTTCATTTGGAATTTAAATAAGCAATAATTTCATTTGGAATTTAAATAAGCAAGAAAGAAAAAACTAATTAAAAATCAAAAAACATTTAAATTATATATTCTTTGATTATATGTTATAAAAAGTATTTATAGGATAAAAAATATACAAAGTATTTATATTAATATTTTTACTATTTAAAATGCTAGAGTTGATTTTCTTTAAAAATAATCAAATCATAATTTAAAATAAATTTATTAATCAATTAAAATTATTTAAGTATGATAATATTTATTTTTCATTTAAATTAAATTAAAAATTAAGATTTAACGGAAATTCATGTTATCGTTGATTTCAACAACAAAATTAGATATAAAAAATAAGAGATTTTTTAAATAAAATAATAAAAATAGCTGCTAATATTTAATCTTAAATTCTTTACAAACTACAATGCCATTTGAATTTTTTATGTTGTTTTTGATAAAATATAGGTATTATTTGGAATTTAAATAATCAAAAGTATCATTTGGAATTTAAATAAGCAAGAAAGAAAAAATTAATTAAAAATCAAAAAGCATTTAAATTATATATTCTTTGATTACATGTTATAAAAAGTATTTATAACATAAAATATACAAAGTATTTATTTAAATATCATTTACTATTTATAATTTTAGAGTTGGTTTTCTTTAAATATAATTAAATCATAATTTAAAATAAATTTATAAATCAATCAATTAAAATAATTTAAGATATGCTAATATTTATTTTTCATTTAAATGAAATTAACAATTAAGATTTAACGGAAATTCACACAATCGTTGATTTTAACAACAAAATTTGATATAAAAAATAGCAGATTTTTTAAATGAAATAACAAAATTAGCTGTTGCAATTGAATTTTAAATTATCTACAAACTGGAATGCCATTTGAATTTTTATATGTTGTTTTTGATTAAATATTGGTATCATTTGGAATTTAAATAAACAAGAAAGAAACTAATTAAAAAATCAAAAAATA